ATGTAGCTGTTCAGTTTTCCCATAATCACTGATTGAAGAGACTGTCTTTTCTCCATTGTCTATTCTTGCCTCTTTTGTCATAGATTAATTGACTGTAAATACATAGGTTTATTTCTGAGCTTTCCATCCTGTAATTTAATGTAGATTGCCTTGGGTAATATGGTCATTTTAACAGTATTGTCTTCCAGTCCAAGAGCACAGTATATCTTTCCTTCCATGTTGTCTTCAATTTCTTTCATCAGCATCTTAAAGTTTTTGGAGTACACGTCTTTTGCCTCCTTAGGTAGGTTTATTCTTAGGTATTTTATTCTTTTTGATGTGATGGTAAATGGGATTGTTTCCTTAATCTTTCTGGTATTTTGTTGTTAGTGTGTAGTACATGTATTTCTATAAATGCAACAGATTTATGTATATTAATTTTGTATCCTGCAGTTTTACGGAATTCATTGATGAGCTCTAGTAGTTTTCTGGTAGCACCCTTAGGATTTTCTATTTGTAGTATCATGTCATCTACAAACTGTGGCAGTTTTACTTCTTCTTTTCTAAATTGGATGCCTTTTATTTCCTTTTCTTCTCTGACTGCTGTGGCTAGAACTTGCAAAACTATGTTGATTAAAAGTGTCAAGAGTGGGCATCTTTGTCTTGTTCCTGACCTTAGAGGTAATGCTTTCAGTTTTCCACTGAGTATGATGTTAGCTGTGGGTTTGTCATATATGGCCTTTATGTTGAAATGTGTTCCCTTTATGCCCACTTTCTGGAGAGTTTTTATTATAAATGGATGTTGAATTTTACCAAAAGCTTTTTATGCATCTATTGAGATAATCATATGGTTTTTGTTCTTCAACTTGTTAATGTGGTGTATCACATTGATTTGCAGATATTGAAAAATCCTTGCATCCCTGGGATAAACCCCACTTGATCATGGTGTGTGATTCTTTTAACGTAATGTTGGAGCTGATTTGCTATAATTTTGTTGAGGGTTTTTGTATATATGTTCATCAGTGATATTGGCCTGTAAACTACTTTTTTGTGATATTTTTATCTTGTTTTGATATCAGGGTGATGGCCTCATAAAATGAGTTCACAAGTGTTCCTTCCTCTGCAGTTTTTTGGAATAGTTTCAGAAGGATAGGTATTAACTCTTATCTAAATGTTCAGTACAATTCACCTATGAAGCCATCTGATCCTGGACTTTTGTTGGGAAATTTTTAATTATGGGTTCAATTTCAGTGCTGGTAATTGGTGTGTTCATATTTTCTATTTCTCCCTGGTTTGCTCTGGAGAGATTGTGCCTTTCTAAGAATTTATTCATTTCTTCTAGGTTGTCCATTTTATTGGTGTATAGTTGCTTGTAGTAGTCTCTTATGATCATTTGTATTTCTGTGGTGTTAGTTGTAACTTCTTTTTCATTTCTGATTTTATTGATTTGGGCCCCCTCCCTTTTTTTCTTGATGAATTTGGCTAAATTTTGTTTAGCTTTTCAAAGAACCAGCTTTTAATTTCATTAATCTTTTCTGAGTTTTTAGTCTCTGTTTCATGTATTTCTCCTCTAGTCTTTATGATTTCTTTCCTTCTACTAACTTTGACTTTTGTTTGTTCTTCTTTAGTTGCTTTAGGAATAAGGTTAACTTGTTGTTTTTGAGATTTTTCTTATTTTTTGAGGTAAGCTTGTATCACTGTAAACTTTCCTTTTAGAACTGCTTTTGCTGCATCTCATAAGTTTTGGATCATTGTGCTTTCATTTTAATTTGTCTTTAGATTTTTTTTTAATTTCCTCTTTTATTTCTTCAGTGAACCATTGGTGGTTTAGTAGCGTACTGTTTAGCCTCCACATGTTTTGTGTTTTTTTGCAGTTTTTTCCTTGTAGTTGATTTCTAGTCTCATAGTGTTGTGGTTGGAAAAGATGCTTTATATGACTTCAGTTTTCTTAAATTTACTGAGGTTTGTTTTGTGGTCTAGCATGTGATCTATCCTGGAGAAAGTTCCATGTGCACTTGAAAAGAATGTGTATTCTGCTTCGGGTGGAATGCTCTATAAATATCAATTAAGTCCAGTTGATCTCATGTGTTATTTAAGGCCTCTGTGTCTATTGATTTTCTGTTTGGATGATCTGTCCATTGATGTAAGTAGGGTATTAAAGTTCCTACTGTTATTGTATTACTTTCAATTACTCCTTTTATGTGTGTTAATATTTGCTCTATGTATTGAGTGCTTCTGTATTTGGTGGATATATATTTACAATTGTTATGTCTTCTTCTTAGACTGATCCCTTGATCATTATGTAGTGCCTTTCTGAGTGTCCTTCTTTGTCTCTTGTAACAGTCTTTATTTTAAAGTCCATTTTGTCTGATATAAGTATTCTACTTCAGCTTTCTTTTGATTTCTATTTTCATGGAATAACTTTTCCATCCCCTCACCTTCAGTCTATATGTGTCTCTAGATCTGAATCTCTTGTAGGCAGCAAATATATGGGTCTTGTTTTTGTATTCATTCAGCCAGTCTGTATCTTTTGGTTGGAGCATTCAGTCCATTTACACTTAAAGTAATTATCAAATGAAAACAAACATATGTATGTATATATGTATGACTGAACTATTATTTCTGGCTGTACACCAGAAATTGACACAACATTGTGAACTGACTATACTTTAATAAAAAAAAGATACTTGGTGAAAATACATATCAATAATTTATTTATTTATTTATTTATTGTCATTTTGTGAATTGTTTTGATTTGTTTTTGTAGGTCTTTTTGTTCCTTTCTTTTGTTCTCTTCTCTTGTGATTTGATGGCTGTTTTAGTGTTATATTTGGATTCCTTTGTCTTTTTTGTGTGTATATGTATTACAGATTTTTGGTTTGTATTTACCTTGAAGGTTTTGTATAGCAGTCTAGAGAGAGAGAGTCCCCCATAGATATATGATTGTTTTAATTTGCTGACTTCTTAGTTTTAAATGCTTTAATTTGCTGATCTCTTAATTTCAAATGCATTTTTAGTACCTGCATTTGTACTCTATTTTTGATACCATATTTTACATGTAATTGTTTCGTGTATCCCTTAACTGCTTACTTGTGTATCCCTTAACTGCTTATTGTAAATATAGATGATTTTACTACTTTTTTCTTTTAACTCACCTAGTAGCTTTGTCTCTGGTTGATTTTCTACCTTTACTGTATGTTTGCCTTTACTGGTGAGCTTTTTCACTTATAATTTTCTTTTTTCTAGTTGTGGCCTTTTCTTTTTCATCTAGAGGAATTCCTTTAACATTTGTTGTAAAGCTTATTTGGTGGTGCTGAATTCTTTTAGCTTTTGTTTGTAAAGGTTTTAATTTCTTCATCAAATCTGAAGGAGAACCTTGCTGGGTAGAATACTCTTGGTTGTAGGTTTTACCCTTTTATCACTTTAAATATATCATGCCACTCCTTTCTGGCCTGCAGAGTTTCTGCTGAAAAATCAACTGATAGCCTATGGGAGTTCCCTTACATGTTATTTGTTGCTTTTCCCTTGCTGTTTTTAGTATTCTCTCTTTATCTTTAATTTTTGTTATTTTCATTACACTGTGTCTTGTGGTATTCCTCCTTGGGTTAATCTTTTGTGGGACTCTGTGTACTTCCTGGACTTGGATGACTATATGCATATTTTAACAGAAGTAATTCTCCCAAACTATGAACATGGGATAGCTTTCCATTTATTTGTGCCTTCTTCAGTTTAATCAAAGTCTTATAGTTTTCAGTGCACAGATCTTTCACTTCTTTGATTAAATTTATTCCTAAGTATTTTATTATTTTTGATGCTATTGTAAATGGGATGATTTTCTTGATTTCTTTTTCAGACGTTTTGTTGTTCGTATATAAAAATGCTATATATTATAGTGTTCTGAATGTTGATTTTGTATACTGCAACTTTACTGAATTCATTCATTAGTACTAACAGTCTTTTGGTGGAGTCTTAGGGTTTTCTTTGTACAAGATTACATCATCAGCAAACAGAGACAATTGTACTTCTTCCTGTTTTGAAATGAACGAACAAACATCTTTGGCATGGAGCACAGCTCTCAGGGTGCCATCACGCTATTCCCTAACCCATTAAATGTATACAGCAGGGGCTCTGATAAGAGACTTCTGCCTTCTGTCTGCCCTCCTTGGGCACTCTGTTCCCTTTGGTTCTCCAGCAGAAGCCTAAGGCCTGTTAGCTTCCTTTGCCATTGCTGTAGTCCAAAATTCACATGTTAAAGCTTAATCTCTAACACATTGGTGTTTGGAGATGGAGCCTTTGGGAGGTAATTAGGTCATAGGGTAGAGTCCTTGTACATGAGATTAGTGCCCTTATAAAAGAGACTACAGAAAGCTTCATTGCTCCTTCCACCATTGGAGAACACAGGAATAGACCTCTGTCTATGAATCAAGAAGCAGGTTTTCACCAGACATTGAATCTACTAGGGCCTTGATCTTGGACACACCAGCCTCTAGACCTGTGAGAACTAAATGTTTGTTGTTTAACCACCCAGTCAATGATATTTTTGTTATAGTAGCCAGAATGCCTGCAACACTATCAATGAACACACTAGCCCTTATATTATAAGGATATGAGGCTCAAACTTAATAAGAATCTTTTTGAGTGAACTGACACGTTCACCACCTTCTTTCCACTCAAAGATCTCTACCATCACTTTCTTTGGATGCTAGAAAAGGTCTTTGCCAACCTAAGGTTACAATTGAGCAGGAAGCCTGGAAGCTTCTGATAGAATCTCAGCCATATGTCGTGGTGAAAAGCTTGCTGGTGCTCAAGGCAAGTAGCTGCTCAGATAAATCTGAACAAATTACCCTTAAAAGAATAAAAGTTCCCTTCCGCACCCACCTACACCTCAGTCATCTCCAGACAGACAGGGAGGAGAATTTATAAGAATAGCTAAGAATTCATACAACTATGGCTGGATTAGTAACCTCAAAGTGTTCTCTTCATGTAGCTAAAGGGAGAGTCATGAGTTAAATGGATATAGGTCAGCTTTGGATCCAGTTTTTATTTTAGGCAGTTTCAGGAAGGGCTCTATTTAGAAACAGAAGATTAATCTTGGAACCTCATACATTGCTCCTGGGAACATACAATGGCACAACCATATGGAAACTACTTTGGCAGATCTTCAAAAAGATAAACACAGAATTACCATGTGAGGCAGCAGTTCCATTCTTAGCTATACATACGAAAGAACTGAAAGCAAGAATTCAGATACTTGTGCACCAATGCTTATTACACCATTATTCACAATAGCCAAAAGGTAGAAACAAGGCAAGTGTCCATCAACAGGTGAATGGATAAACAAAGTGTGGAGTAACCATACAAACGAATATTACTTAACGAATTACTTAAGGTGTGGAAAGCACCTAGAAGTTCTTGGCACACAGAAAGCACTTGGTAAATAGTAATTATTGATATTAGTTACCTGTATGTTGGGGATAAGGGACACCTGGGGGAAAAGGAACCAGGTTAGGACCAGTGTATGCCAGGGAGGGGAATCTCTGAATGGTAGAATTTCTTGAGTAATGTACAGCTCTAACTGCACCATGCTACACTACTGTTTTTTCTGAATTACCTATAACATTTCATTAAACTTGAAGTTCCTTCACAGTTTGGTATTAGGTAGGGATGTTATGGAAAATAAAGTGTAAGGAGAATAAAGGAATCAATCTCTCTGCTTCTGCCCCGGGAGAAAGCAGTCCCCTCTCTGGGGGACTGAGTCAGGGTTCCAGGAGTAACGGGAGGAGGGTCTGGTCCATGTGGAAGCCCTCAGGCTGCAGAGAGGCCCACGATGCTCGCAGGCATGGGAGAAGGCCTCAGTGGTCCCAGATTCACTAGAGGAAACTTTGGAAGGGGGCGGGCTGGAGCGGATAATAGATACTTGGGTTACCTGGGAAACATTTTCTCCATATTTCTTCTGTATTCCCACCTACTGGCCAAGTGAGTTCACAAAGAACTTAAAGCAAAATGCAGCCCAGGACAAGTGTTCCGGTCTTCTCCATGTGATGAAATAAACGTGATTATTGGCTAACTCATCTGGGCACCTGACAACTACAGTAGAAGGATTGGTGATGTGATTCCATCAGGATCTCACCTTTCTCTCTCCTCCTTCTCCCACCCCAAGTTAGAGAAGTATTTTGTCCATCAAACCAGCAGGTAGAACACTCTAAAGATCACAACACAAAAACAAGCACCAGTGCATCTTTGTTTCCAGCTACGGGTTTATTTTCACTTGAAAATCTATTTGTAGAAGTTACAAAGCTGCCACAGATGCCACACACCTTTCAGCAGAAAAGCCCACAAAAAAGCTCAGTTGGACGCACTCAGCTGGTAACTAGGGGAAGACAAGCCAAACAGATCCTGGAGGTCAGCTGAGTCTTTGGAGGGCAGGAAAGCCCAGGGTCAAGGGAACACTAACACAGATGCTACGTCGGGGGGCTTCCAGTAAAGGCAGGAAAATACCATAGCATTAAAAAGAAGGCCCTCAAGTCCCAGGTCCACTGGCCCAAGAATACCACACCATTTGTTAGAAAGTTTGCCTACTGTGTCCCCAATAGTGAAGCATAGATACAGTTTACCAGCAGAAGCTCAGAAACAGGCTAAGAGCAAAAGGCAAAGCAGTCTGGGGATTATGGGTTGAGTTTCAGCCCAAGACACAAAGCCAGCTCAGACTTCTGAATTTTTCCATCCTTGTTCACATCGCAGTGACGCAAAAGAATCTCCCGGAACTTATCAAGGTCCACCCCGCTGATGCTGGGCTGAGGACAACAAAAACATGTCAGTAGGCAAGCCATCCTTTAATGCCACTCTCCCTCCCCTCTGTGATTGCTCAGTGTAGGGGACACCCTGCCTTCTGAGAGAGCCTCCTTGGAGACATACCATGGGGAAGTGATTATCTCCTCATCCACATGTTGCCAAGGATAAGTTTTCTGCCAACAAGTTCATTTCTCAGCATGTCCCTTCAGGCAAAAGAACTTCTATTCCCATGTCACTTCTCTGCAGTTCTAACAGAAAGCCTATCTTTTTTGCAACCACAGTAAAGATATTTCACGTTCGAGCAGAGGATCATCACCCAAATTCTGTCTTGTACACTAATGAGAGAAGGCACATATGTTATCTCCCTGTGGGAGGTTTCTGTGCCTCTTGTTTTAAAAGGCTTACAGTGAATGAAAGTCTAACTAAAGCATTATGTTCTTGAGCTGAGGACTTCAGATTTATTCCAAGGAATATTTCAGGGACTAAGAAGGAATTGTGATGCGTGTCAGCTAGGAAAATATTCTAAACTCAAAGGCTTGCAAAAGTGAGCAATGTTGGGACTAAGTGATTCTCCATAGGTTATTTTATTTAATCCTCACAATGACTTTGGGAGGTAAATGATTAAGCCTTGTTTACAGATTAGGACACCTAGGCTTGGAGAGAGCTGAAACATCTTGCCAAGCTAGAATGTTTCAAGAGCATTGTGGATCCCAAGTCTTCTGTCTTTAATTGGACGCTCATTTCACCAGCTCACACTGGTCTCATGGAGAAACGGCTGGCCTAATAAAGCTGTACGAATGGTGATGAATCTAAATTTAAAAGTCAGTGTCCAGAGAGGAAGGAAAACCCAACTAACCAGATTTCCAAACCCCTTGATTAGTGGACTAGTCATGAGTGAGCAGTGGAAGCAGCTGTCTCCACGGTTTGATTTCAGGAGCTCATGGAAGCATTCCCCATCACCCCACCCACCCCAAGGTTTCCTCACTTCAAAAGACAGCTCTAGAAAACCTGCAATAGGAAACAGAACCTTTCATTCTTCAACTCTTCAGCCATATTGAGCTGCTAATTTGCACTGTCCCACAGGTTAAATGACTGACACCAGATCTACCCCTGATAGTAGGTTTTCACAGAGGGAAGGAGGGAAGAGAACAGCAGGAACTGGGGGCCAGATTTCAGAGCAAGAATAAATACTAAAGTGGGGTAGAATTCTGGGAGATAGCAGGAGATGAAAGAGTCTGCGGCCAGAAGCTAAACTTGGCCAACTTCACTCTGTCAAAATCCCTGAGTGATTGGACCAAGAGACTAAGATGAAACATATAGTCAGTAGTTCTCTTTGTTGGAGTGCAAGAGGATAGCTCCCTGGGTGTCAATACCAAGCAAGGTATAGATGTGGCCGAAGGAAATGTGGCCTAGAGGTCCTGAAAGCAGCAAGCTATACTCTGTGGCTCTATGTTAGAAACTCCTTTGTTGTGCAGTTACAAAATGGGGAGGTTTGATTTTCAGTATCCCTAACCACTTTTGCTACATCCTTTTTCAAGTGGCACCCTGCCTTAGGATCCTTTTAGCAAATGCCCACTCTTAGCAAAGATTCAGATGGTAGTCATTTACACATTAGCATAAATTAATTTGCCAGTGTATTTACCTCATTCAAGCTATTCTAAGCTTTTTTTCTCTAATTTGTTTCCTGAAAGGAATTATTTCCTTTAAATGAGTAGATATATTTTTGATTGTGTGGATATGTTAGGAAGGCAGTATGAATGTGGGTGTATGTAAAGGAAGTTTCTTTGGACCTTTTATGTTAATGCTCAACAACTCACTAGGAGTCAGGAGAACTATGTGACTGTTCAAAATGCTTGGACTGCAGAAGACGAATCATCTGAAACCACCAAGGGCCTCTGATTTATTAACAAGTTGCCAATATAAATGCATGCAGATTCCTGATCTAAGACCTCTACACATGTTAGTTCTAATCACACTGTTCTAGTAGAACAACACTATGAGATATCGACTATCATCTTTAACTTACAGATGAGGACACTAAAGCACAGAGAGGTCAATTAACCTTCCAGTGTCACATAGCTGATACATGTCAGAACCAAGATACAATGCAGGCAGGCAAGCCCTAGAGCACACCTCTTTATCACTACACTATGTCACAGCCTCCCATGTAAAAATGCATTTTTTCTCATCCATCTCATGAGAAAGTATGAGAGTGGATCTAGCATAAGTAGTTAAAAAATACTTATCTGTCCCCCTTGAATCCTGAAATGTTGACTGTTACTGGGAAATGCTTATTCAGTATAATCTTAACTATATACAAACTATACATAGAAATGGAGTGAGTTAATAGTAGATCTATTTCAGTGTAGAGATTGTTTTTCTTCTCTCTACTTTCAAATTTCTCTATGGATGTATAATTTTTATAATTTGAAAATGAAAAGAAATGATAAAATGAGTGCTAAGGGCTAGTAGTTCTTGCGAGGGGCACAGATTTGATTCAGTTCTTTAGGTTAAGTATTATCCCCTCTTGCCAGCCATCTTCTTATCAACAGCAGAGAAAAGCAGATGGTGTATCTAGCAGGGAAAAGAATAAACTTTTGGGAGGCCTGGGGACAGGAACTCTCATAACCTCCAGCCAGACAGCCTGGTCGTATCTGGCATCCCATTTATTTGGCTTCCAATATTACTGTTCACATTTCTGCTTCTCTTTGATGAGTGCTAGGAATCTTGAATGTCTTGCCTTTCCACTTTCTAGTTTAGCTTGTAGATTCTTTTGTTCATTTTCTTGCTGTGCTGTGTGAGCTACAGGCTCTTAAAAAATCCTGTGCAGAAATTACTGTGCTGCTTCAGAGACTTGCTGTCTCTTCACGCTGGCAGAGGACAGCCTTCGGTACCATTTTCCAGGGGTTCAAGAAAAAGATGTTCTGGTAACCAAATAATCTTGATACAGATTTGACCTATGCATTGTACATGACTGTACAAGAATTTAAAGACTATAAAATAAGCCTACTTCAGGGTTATTATCGCAAACATCAGTGATCCTGGCCTGGACTGTACACTCAGAAACTGAACCAGCTCCCTGCTGACCCCATGGCATGTGCTGATAGTTGCTTTTAAAATAAATTCCAGATACTGGTTTGTTGACTTGTCCCATGGCCCTTCCTTATAAAATGAAAATAAAGAAAACAGGTGCAGGAGACGGCTCTAGTTTATGAAGGTGAGAAATGTCAAATTCTCAATGTTAGGGTCTCAATGACCCAGTAATGTTGGAAGCCAAATAAATGGGATGCCAGATACGACCAAGCTGTCTGGCTGGAGGTTATGAGAGTTCCTGTCCCCAGGCCTCCCAAAAGTTTATTCTTTTCCCTGCTAGATATACCATCTGCTTTTCTCTGCTGTTGATATGGTCATACTTGACTAAATCTTTCAAATGGTGTGGTGGATGTTTTTTAAGCAACTTGGAAGACTTGGAAAGACCCAATAAAGATATGCACCTTCAATCATCTGGCTTCAGAGGAGAACATTAATAACTAACTACTGTATACATACTTTCTAGCTCAACAAATCAGCCTTCTAGAAACTGCTTTTTATTACTGGCCATAGTCTGACCCAGTCCTTAGAAACCAGCTATCTCAAATTGCCTGGTACTTCTATGGGGAAGTGCCTTTCTGTAGCCCAAGAAGCCCACAGAAATACAGAGGTAAGGACGAAAGTGGTAGGGATCCCGATTTCCCATCCAGGTGATACGAGTCCATCAAAGAGTAAGGCAAACTTCTGCTTCCAGCTCATGTCTTTGGATGTTCTCAAATTTTTCCCTTCTCTGTAATTTTCTCAAGATAAATGTCTTCTCTACCCTCTTGTTGGTTTAGGTTTTACTTCCATCATCTCCCATTAACCTTTGGAAGTCACTGCCAAACTCAGAGAGAGTTGAAAGACAACTGAAAGTGTCTGTAAGGATCTGAAGCTCTTGGGCTCTATACTAAGGCAGTCAGAGGCCCTGGCTCCACTCCACTCCATACAGCTCTGAAAAATAGGTTCACCATCCCATTATTCTATGAAAAGCAAATTGAAACTCTAGTTGAGCAAGGCTTTCTGCTGTAAAACTTTAATGTCCGATAGATAATTGCTCATTTGCTATTACAGAAGTCATTCTGATGTTAGATAATGAGCCAAATGGAATTTCCTTGTAGCAATCAGTGTAGATGGCAATACCACACCAACACCCAGGAACAATTCTGATGATGCAAATGCGGGAGAAATCTTCAACAGGAGTAACACGTGAAGGAGACGAGAGACAACGGGCCAGTGGGATGGGACTAATAAGAATTATAAGTCATCCTAATTAGACATCAGGAAAAATCTTGTCCGTACCTGCTTAATTGCAGAGACTTACGCAAAAATCAGTATCTGGGCATCTTTCTGCCACAAAACTCCAGTTTTAATCAGAGTTTCAAAAAGATCTGAGACTCCAAAAACAGTTAATAATTGTTGCTTCTCTAATTTGTCACCATCTGGGCTAATCAGGACACAATCATTGTGTCTTGTACAAAAACCTCAAAAAAAAATCCTTAAGGATATGAAACTACTAAAGTCAGTGTCTACACAGTTCCATAGAAAAACACCCATATGGGTGTTGGGAAGTATCTGTTTAACTGGATTGTGCAGCCAGTCAATACGGTTCATCAGGATCTCAAGGAGACTGCTTTTTCAAACATTGTTTACCCTACATGAAACAGGTCTGTGATGTTGATATAATCAAAATTGCATCAGTTCCAGCCACTGCAATGCCTTGATAGATGAAATAACTGTTTTAGACTAGGTGTTAGAGCAGTCCCTTGGTTTAAAAAAATAGAATCCCAAGTATGGGATTTATTAAATGAAATTGAAAGCTTTACTTATTTTAATAACTGAGTCCACGGGAGAAGGATTTATCTGAAATTGAAAAATAAAGCAGTAAGATAAACAATGGCACTGTGCTCCTTTGTTAAAATAGATAATTTAAATGATGGTAACAAGACACTCCTGTGCGGGCTTCGCTTAATTGAAACTACGAATGATCTTAGGAGAGAAGGGAGATTTGTTGGGCTTCACAGAAGCTCAAAGTTTGTTAAACAGACTACATCCATAGATTTTCTCTCTAGCATTAATCTTTGGCCCTATTGATTCCTTAAAATAAACAATGGAATCAATCAAAACAGCAACCCCAATCCATAATAGGAGTAATCTGCACAGCCTCATGACATCACCTGGACAAGCTCCATCATGTCTTTGACAAACCCATCCACTTCTGGGCCTTCCAGGGCTCCAGTTTTACTCTGAAAGATAAAAGATCCAACCAACCAGGTATCATTTCCTTACTTAGGAAAGCTTAAAGAATAAATTACACAGGTAGACCAAATCAATATTCTTTTGTGACTGCAAGCAAGTTTAAAAATGATATGTTTCAATGTATGTTCTCTCTGCAGGATGTGAATGCTCCATATGAATTAAAAGACTTCATTGTAGTAACTCCTCTTATGTAACCAAATGGGCACCAGTAGTTTTGAGTTCCTTGGCTCATACAAGTAGTATTAATATAATATGTACCGACTTCATTTGCTTCCTAAATACCAGGACTCAGTTCAGACTAGTGCTAACTGCACATCATATCGATCCTTTGAAGGATAGGTTGAAATTTTAAAATTTTGCTTTATGATTTAACAATGATTTAATTATCAAGATAGACATTTTAAATCAAGAGAGATTAGATCAGACACAGTAGCATTGTTATATGGTTCATATTTAAAATCTTTATTGTTCTACCTATTTTATAAGAATGCCTATAAAATACAATGCGTACTAAAATATTTCAGTTTCTTCTCTAAGGTGCCAGTTATGACACGTCATCCATTCTCTTCAAGGTATTTTTTGCTCCTGAACCTTTAACGTATCACTTTAAAAATCCATTCCCTTAGTGTTTTTACCAGACAGTAGTACTTGCTACATGCCAGGAACTCTTCTAAGAACTTTAAAAACATGAATTCATTTCATTCTCATATAACAACCCCATGAGGTAGGTGTTGTCTTTGTCCTCATCACCCTAATTTTACAGATAAAAAAAATGAGGCACAGGGAGGTTAAGGAACTTGCCCAAGGCCATGTGGCTAATAAATGATGATTCAAACTCAGGTAATTGGTCACCGAGTCTATACACTTTGCTCCACTGCCTCTTTCAGGTGATGGCCTTTTCTGCTTAGAGTATGACACGCAGATATCCAGTCTGATTAGTTTCAGGATGTCTTATGACCTTTCCCAACTTTCTTCTTATTTTTCTTCCTCCTTGCATCATCCTACCTTGTCCTCAAGAAACTCAATCTCTTCACCATACTTTGTTCTTTAGAATTATTATTTTCTCCTCTTTAAAGAAGGACCAAATAGTGGCCGTATGAGAGAGTTAGATTTTATACCAAATATGTCTGACTTTGCCCATATTTCTTTAGGTTCGGTGCGTTTTTTAATTTGATTGTTTGCTTTTGTTTTTGAGCATGCTATTACAGATAGAGACTAGAAAGGAGAAAGTTTTGGTTTGGATCCAAGGAAGAAAAAAAGAACTGTTCTCTTCTGAACCATAAATATTTGTTTGTTCATTTTCACTTAGTTCTTAGAAGTTTCATAGAGAAGCTGAGGGTACCTTGATATAGTAACATGTGTGCTTGCTATTCGTTGTATTGATTTAGGGTCTGTGGTTAGGATGACCCCACACAGGGGCAAAACAAGCTTCCTACTTAAAGATGGCCAGCACAATATGTTGAAAAGGCATACTTACAACATCATAGTGAGCAAAGATTTTTTCAAAGTCTCTCTTCCTTTCTTCAGTAGAACAAGCCTATGTATGGAGAAAACTGTCAATCAGCAGTGTGAAACTTGAGTTGTACGATTCTTCTAGGGTCTTAGACAACTTGTATAAAGTTTGAGTCAATAACCTTAATCCCTTGATTCCAACACTGAGCCTTGTCAGTCCCTAGATAAAGGCAAGAGAAATAGATGCCTTCCTTTCTTCCTTCCCTCTCAAATCTATAGAGAAACATGAATGATACAAACCCATCTAGAGAAATGTCACTACTTACATCCATTTTAAATTGGAGAAGGAAGTTTTCCTGAAGAGCCAGAATCCTAAATGGAAAAAACAAACAAACCAAAAAATGTAATCCCACCCACATGATGATCTGTCAGCACTCAGTTACAAGTAAATTTATAACTGGTGTGAGGCAGTTTCCAAGTTTTTCTGCAAAATAGGATGGGTGCTTGAAAGCTAGAAATTTATACATTACAAAAAGAAGGAAGGGAATGTTTTATAGGGATTAGTAGTCAGCATAGAGAGACTTTTAAAAATCCATCTTGGTGAAAAGTGGCAGAATAAGGGCTTATGAAAAATTCTTTCCTCCATAAAAGTAACAAGAAAACTGGCACACACACAAAAAAATTGTCATAGTAACTTTTTTTCAGAACCTTGGAAATTAACCAAAGGCTTGCAGAAATCTAGTGGTTTTTATTTTAGAAAAACAAGTAAATCTTTATAAGAATAGTGAACTTTGGCATTTTAACTTGCTTCATCCCTCTACCCTCCTTAGTTCCATGATATCCTTGAAAACCAAGAGCCTCAGTCCCAGGGAAAATCAGCAGCCTAGCAGCTACTGTAGTGGGCAGGACAGGGTACTAGTTCCTTCAAAGCCTAATTCCCAGAGAACCACTATTATTTGACCTCTTTGATGGCTCCCTAGAAGACCCCACTTTCAAGAATGTCTCTATTTGACCTGATTTTGAACCTACCCAGTGGAAAAACAGTGGCAATTGTTAGGATCACAGTTGACCAAGGTAGTAGATAAAAATTTGGATAAACAATAGACTATCTAAAAAGCTTAAGAGAAAAAGCTGGGATGTGAGATATCCACAGGGGCTTTTAAAAACCTCCAAGATTATTTCTGGGAATCTAGACAGTCACACACATACACAGGACTACATCCATGTCCAGGGATGTGTACATGCACAGGAAAGACCTGAGGAGACCCTAGGTTCTCACCTCTGGCTTATCTTCATAATCTGTGCAAGCAGAAGTGAAGGCTAAGGCAGAGTTGCAAACTGCTTGGTTGAATGTTGAAGATGCGCCCAATATGTACTCATGTCATGGGATCCTTATGTAGGACCGTGAATATCTGGCCTTTTTGAGGGCATGCCTGCCCCATAACCCAGTTATAAAATATTTTGAAAATTTTGTGCATTGTGCTTTTCTAGGGAGAGGTGCTTTTATGATTTTCACAAAGGGAGCTGTTACCCCAAAAGACTCACTGACTCTTTAAGACTTCAGGTGAGACTTGGTCTCTACGTTTCAAAAAGAAATGTGTGCTGTCATTAAACCCCTAGAAATGTGTTTCTGAATCTGCGACACCATTACCGTGCTACTCACCTTGCCAAATCATTAAGATCCAACCGGCCATCTTTATTTTTGTCAAAGATCTTCATCTGGAATGCAGAAGGGAAAGGACTGTAAGAAATTCTTGGAACAAGAATTAATTTTGAAAGTTATTAAAGTGCTTTTCTGATTATATATTTGTCTAAATTGGCTGAAACTGACTCATAGAGTAATCCCTATAGAGTATAGAAGAAATATTTCCCATGAAGGCAAAAGTAGTTGAGGAGGATATTGATATGTTAGAAAGTCTGCTCTCTGTAGGCTTCAGAGGATTGTACAGAGAAAAGGAGAGAGAGGCAAAGATAGCAGAGTAGACAGACAGGTGACTTAACTCTGCTGGAAAGGGGATCTGGAGGGAGAAGAGCACTGGCTAAGGCAGGACAACACCAGAGAGAGTTGCTTAGCTTTCCCAAGACCATTCTGAGTTCCCGAAGGTTTGGATGTGAGTCAAGGACCAGTGGACCTCCCATGGGGCCAGCTGAGTGTCAGATGATGCTGGAACAGAGGATGGGGTGGATCACTGAGTCAGCTGGAAGGAGGATGTGGCAGAGAATTAGTGGTTTGCATCCAGCAAGAGTTAAAGGATGACTTCAACCACGAATGTCAGCAAGGTAGCAGCAACTCTGGTCAAAAGGCATCATCCTGGAAACCAGAGCATTGTACCCAGGGACCTCGGCTCCTCCCCTTCACCATGAGGTCCTTCCTATATGCCACTTTTCTCTCCTTAACCACCTTGATGACATTTTTGCAGAAGGGTGTGGGTTGGATATAGACAACTGAGAAATCTAGAAGGCTGAGCTTTTCCTTTTGTAGAGAGACTTAGCCCTATTCAAAGAGGCTGTTTAAATTTACTAGATCAGACTAAGCTTTAAACAAGATATGATTAAAAGTTAAAATTGGGAATACCAGATTGGTTTAGGAAACATGGAGGAGACACATTTCTCTCCATATCTAAGTAGTAGTAGGAGTGAATTTTGTGACTTCACAACACTTTAGTGCTGCAGAATATCTCTAAATATATCTATATGAGGAGGCTGTACAGGGAAAAAGAATCAGTGAGATAATCTAAGGATATATCCAACAGATTTTTGCATTAAAAACATCAGTCCTTCTTCCTTATTTACTATATATATCAACTTTATTTTTAATATTTCAAATGAATTTTAAAGCTCATTCTCTCCTAACCTTGGTATCACAAATATGTATTATGGAATTTATTAAAACAGGTTATATTTTTATACATTTGAACATACTACACATCCAGTCATGCCCTTTAAACATAGACTATATCCAGTAGAAGTCTGAGAGCGAACCATTTTGCTAGAACGTGAACCATGAGTTATTTTCTTTGACTCCATCATTATATAAGGTTCATTCTTAAAAAGAATGAAGAAAGACAGAAAGGGAAGGAAGCAGCTAGGGAGTCAGGTGCTTCAATCCAGGCATGAAGGATAAGACCTGGGACCAGGGTAGAGGGTGGAGGTATTCTCTTTGTCTGCCATATTCTCAGATTTTAATTTGTTATTTTATAGTAGTTCAAACTCCATGCTCTGATTAGGTACAAGAGCTTAATATTTCCCACGTGTATTAGCTTACATTTTAAAAAGCTCAATATTACCTAGTAATATTCTATTCAGACAGCTAATCTTTCCCCCTGCCAGGTGTCGGCAGTACCTCTTAATTAGATGTCATAATTGGATTTTGTTAATCTACAGTTTCCTTCCTTGTACAGAACATTAATTAGGAGTTTAGATAAGACAAGGTCTGACAACCTCAACTTTCCTCTTCTGATTGGATGTTCTGCCTTGACTTGTACCTTGTTTATGCTTCAGACAGCTTCAAATGTGCCAATCCTTATTTGGGTCAATTTGAATTCATTTAGTAGGTTCCATCTCTTAAGTAAAGCATTTGATGCTAAACCTCGGAACCAAATCTTTAATGCAGTGTTGTTATGACTATGTCCATTGCTCAATAAAAAGCCACTAAAGCAGCAGTAAGGTGATTTCACATTTGTTCTATCACTTAGAGCTCAGATCCTAGAAGTCTTTTTTTGGAATTTGAGTTTCTAAAAGTTAGTATACCCAAAATCTCTAGAGAAATGTAAGAATTCCTTTTAAAAATAAAACTGTAGTCCAGTTCCTAAATCTGTTCATTGGAAAAGCATAATTTACCTCTACAATTTAAGAAAGAGAAGTGAAATAGATTGACCAAAATCTCATTAAATTCATCTAGTCTTCAGGGAAAACTCAGATTCTTGAGTGGAAACTCTTTCACCAGATAACCTCAACATTTACCTATCACCTCAGTGCCTAAAATACCAGTGATGGACCACTTGGAGTTTGATTGATCATGGGCATATCTTCATGGGACAGTTTGGAACAAAAATGAATGTTTAAATGCAGCACACATGAGCAAGAGAGCCGTAAGGTTTTAACAATGAAACAGACACATATAACAAGAATAACAGGACATTCTGGGTCAATGGACATTTCTCAACCTTGATAATCAAAAGTTGGGTAAGACCACTTAGATTCCCCACAGCTGCTTCACAGGACTCTAAGCTTCTGGATATAAGCTCAAAGCCATCAAAATTGCATATTTCCAGATTTTCTTCAGCTCTGGGCATTCTGTTGTCAGAGATGCCAGCCTGAGGCTTCTTAAACCTGAAAGCTGAAAGCTGTGAAGAGAGGGGCTCTGGACAACTAGGGCTGCTGGGCACATGCGTGATGTGCATAATTTCTTTTCAGCCAAGTACCAACTTTCTGAACCCTCTACACGTCTACTTCCTGCCTGTCCCTACCCCTTAGGATGAGCTGTTTGACTCAGGTGACCCCTGAGGCTTCATGCAGCCACAACTCACTCTCCTTCCCACTCTCCCTTCCCCAACTTAATCAGTCCGTGTTCCTCTCGTCTCCAGAACAATTCTGTGATACCTTTTCTCGTTTCCCATTGTCTTTCATTAATTTGTTTCCTATTTGGTGTTTAATGAGATGTCAGTTCTGAGGATTATTTAAGGACTTCATGAGGAGAAAAATCAATTTTGGGGGTAGTAAATTCTGTTGTGGCTGTCAGAGCTCCTATATTATCTTATCTTTAAAAATATTAAAAGAATCCTAATCTCCTAACATGGCTTTGTCCTTGCCTTGCTCTTCCCTTTCTTCACAGGGATTTATATCTCTTCTTGATCTCTCAGTAGAGCTTTATTCTCCATCCTTTGAGGATAAAGGATAATCGTCAGTTTTTTCATTTGTGCAATGGGAGTTTAAAAATGCTTATTTCAGAAGGTTTGTGTAAGAATCAATTATTATGATTTAAATATTTAATACTAGAACGAACACTGGCTGTGTTTCAGTGAAAATAAAGTACCGCATGTACTCAGTTAAGAAGACATCTTGAAAAAATTTAACTTTAATTTTGTCCACCTTTTTTTGTCTTGCCTTTGCTGAAGCTCTAAAATTGCTGGTTTGTTGTAGTCCATCTTTTTTTTTTAATCAGGAAAACATCAAAAAAATATATTAATTGGTTCTCAAGGTGAAATTGCTGTATTTAAGGACTGAAGGGACAACTGAACTTAACTCCTACTTTTTGGTTGATACTCTGTGGCAGTGATAGGCATAGTGGGGATGAAGAGAAGGGACCAGAGTGAATTTTTGCTCCTTTTTCAAATTTTCTCCCAATTGGAAGACTCCATAAAGTCAGAGACCACATCTTCCTTAGTAGGTTCTCCCTAAATATTTGTTGAATGAATGAACTCACATCTTTATATGAACCAATTTACCAGCACACATTCCAACCTGAGAGAAGAGCATTAAGAGAGTGGGTGTTTTGGTGAGGGAGGGAGTATTCTGGGTCACTTTGAGACCCCACCCCTCAGCCCAGAAAAACCACCTTAGATTCAGCTTAAGAAAAGGAGCACAATGCTGTGATTTCCGAATCCACAGGGACCTGTCCTAGGCTGGACCTGCTCTGATTGTCCTTTCTGGATTTGCTCTGCTCTGTCTCCTCAGCTGCCTCGTCTCCTGCCTTCACTCCTGGCCTGTTGTGTTTTTTTTCCAGCTCCTCCCACCTCTCATCATCAGCTTGGGGCTCCTGTCTCCCTGTCTATCTCTGCCCCCTGGGCTCAGCACGGCTCATACCCACTGCCTGATTGGGATCCCTTTGGAGGACCCTCTCTGTGGTGAAGGACCCCGGTGAGAGCCATAAAGGATGGGTCTCAGCACAGAATTCTGGGCACCCTTTCTGGCTCTTCCCTGGAGGGTCTGGTTTAAAAAAATGAAAAGAAAAAAAGGAGCATTTCAGAACATGAAGCATTGCTTAAGGAAAGTTGGGTCTGTGCCAAATGCTGCAGTGTGCAAAGTGCAATCTGAGAGGCACCCCAAGAGGCATCAAGGGCCATAGTGGGGGTGGTGGGTCCCAAGAAACAGAAACAAGGGAGGTAGGAGGGTCTCAAAGACAAACTTCCCATTATCAGGGTTTATTCTTAGCTAGCTGTTAGGTAATAACTGAATATTCAGTTCAGAGAATTTGCGTTAAATAGCCAGCTGTGTGCCAGGCTCTGTGTGAGCGCTGGGAACACAGAGCTAAGGTACTGCTTTGCGCTTGAGGAGTCACAGGCTGGTGGAGCACAAGATCCATAAACAGATAGTGTCAGTGTCATCCTTGACTCCCAGCTGATTCATCAGGAAGTCCTTCTGATTCCATCTTCAAGATATATAGTTTCTCATGTCTTTCGCTACCCTATCCTGGTCCAAGCTGCCATCCGCTCTCACCTACGTGGAGCAATGACCTCTTAATAGGTCTTCCTTATTCCCTCCCTGCCCATTTCAGGCTCTTCTCAACACAGCAGCCAGACCATGGCATCTTCTGCTTCAGACCCTCCGGTAGCTCTCCATCTCACTCCGACTAAAACCCCAAGTTCTCACAATGGCCCCAGAAGCCTGACATGGTCTGGCCTCTGTCTCATCCTTGCTTACTCTTCTCCAGCCACACTGGTCTCTCCCTGTTCTCAAAAATCCCAGGCACACCCTTGACCCAGGGACTCTGCTTGCTATACCTTTGGTTCTCCTTCAAGTTGCATCTTCTTGAAGGGCCTCCAGCTGATCACCGTATTGATAATCACACCTTCTCCCCAGCCTCCCATCCTAGCTGCCCTTCTGGCACTGCCTGTCCTGCTTTATTTTTTCCATAACACTCATTACCCTCTATTATGCAATATAATTTATTATTTATTATATTTATTGTTATTGTCAGTCTCTCCTTTGTTTTGCTCACTGCTGAATCTTTGGTGACTAGAATAGTGCCGGAGGCATAGCAGGTATTTAATGAATATTTGTGCAATGAATTAAATGGATGACTATGATGTTGACAGTGAAATACACAAGATACTGTAGGGGCACAGAGGAGAGGCACTTGGATCCACCAAGGAAGAAGGTTATAAAAGATTTCCTGGGGCAAGATGATGTCTAACTAAATCTTGAAGGATGAGCAAGAAATAGGTGAAGAAAAATAAGGAAAAAATAGCTGAGCTATGTTAAGTCAGAAGGTAGTGGCTTAGTATTATAGTTGGAGGTGGAGGGACGCCCCTCAGAGTCAAAAGTATTCAAAGAAATACTGGAAACAAACTGGAGATTCTAAATGCAAGCATTCCACTGTGTAGAGCATGTTTTATAAATTAATAAAATCAAGATAACAACAGCCAGTGCTAGTGTTGTGTTAAATCACAAATGCTCAACTGGAAAAATAATCTCCTTGTTATTCTCTCCCTGAGGCAGTTTCAATCTAATTTCCTTTCTCAGAGTATTCATTCTATTAGAGGGTTTTACTAGAATTTAGGTCAGAAGTAAGCTAGAGCTCTCCCTGTAGCAGGGAAACTGCCTCTTGCTTCTGGGGGATTTCCCACTTCACTCTTTAGTGCTAAGCACATATTTTTTACTCAGAATTTCAAATAGCATTTTGCATGCTATTAAAATAGATCATCATAGTAAGAAGCCACATTATTTCCTTGATTGAGATCTCAGCCTAAAGTTTGATTCTGTCCTTGGCATCAGCTTTGATTCTGTCCAGGCCATTTACAAGTTATCATGGTCAAGAGCACGTTCTTCCTTCCCAGGGCAGACGCCCTTGCTGGGGGCAGCATTCAGAGTAGTTAGAGGGCAGAGTGGGAGCCAGGAAGTTCCAGGGTTGACCACCAGGAGGGCTCAACTTCCGGTTAAACTGGTACCTTTGGGAAGGCAACTTAATGTTTCCCAGTGATAATCGGATTTTTAAAATGAGTTTAGGAAATCAACTTGGTGGTGACTTACCCTTTCTAAGCCTCCACAATCAGATACACAAAATAGCATAAGCAATGCCAACACTGTAGAGACGTTGTTAGAAATAATACTAATTAGTATTTGAAAATATCAGTTAAAGGACTAAATAGATGAACCTCAGAGTACACATTTTAATGGGAACGCACAAACTCTTCTCAGTAATATATATCCCCAACTGTTGACCAGAAAGTTCAGAAGGTGAGTCTGCTCAAGAACTCTTTATATAATAAGTAACAATTCCTAAAGTAATTAAGCCTTTACCAGCAATTTCCTTGCTTATTAGTTAAGAAACCTAGAGCCTGATTGGAATGAAGTACATCTGAGAATGGGAAGGGACTCAGGGGAGACAAAAGGGAGAGAAGCCGGATCCAATTCAATATGAATTGTTGATTAGCCCTGGGAGAAATGCATCAAACGACTATGAGGATGAGTTCACCAAAGGCAACTTCTACTTCACAATTTTCCAGGGAGCTTTGACACTGAAATAGCATCAGGGTCGTTTAGGACGTGGATTGCATGAGGGGCACGTTAAATAATGACAACAAGGACCACAACCACCACTACAGTGGGAGCTAACATGTACTGATCGCTCACTATTTCCTAGATGCCCTGCAAGTGCTCCATAGGCATCAGTTCACTTGCTGTCACAGTAATTAGGTACTGTTTGTCCCCATTTTACAGATACAGTAAATAAAGTTGAGAGGCTGGACAGTTTCCCAAGGTCATAACTAAGAAATGGCAGAGGTGGGACACACATTTCCCATCTGACTCTCACTTGCTTTAAATCAACATGCTAAATGAGTAGAACCACCCACTGTGGTGAGAGATGGCTCCTGTATATTTGTTCCTGATTTTCTGTGTCCATACTTCCTTGTTTCTATGTGACTTGGATTAGCATTAAGGTTATTGGCCTGGTGCTTAGTAACCCAACTGCGACTGGACTTTCCAATTCTCCCCAAGGACAGGGAAACAGCTTTCTCTCTCAAGTACCTGCACTCTCATCCCAAGAGAGAGGCTAAAGCAGCTCATCTTTAGCCAGTGTTTGCCAGAGGTGAAGGTTTGCTCATGCACTTACCTGGTTTGCAAACACTTACGGGGCACTTACTCTGTGCCCGACACTGTTTCTGGGCCCTGGAGGCAGTGGGTGAGCTGTCGTCATGGATAGCGCGTTGCTCAGTTACTTACCATGGTGCCAGTATATTCTTCCAGTTTAGCCTCAGGTATGGCCTTTTCATGATGGAGGAAGAGGTCTCGGAGGAAGTTCTGTGACATCAAGAGACGAGCCATATATTATCCAGTGAGCAAAGAAACCTGAAAATCTTGAGACCTTAATTTAAGGATTGTGTTTCATTTGTTTTAAGAAGAAAATAGAATCCTTTTAGAAATAGAAATAGAAAGCAATAAATACAAGAATGGAGGGCTGTCACTGTTGAAAGGGAGCACTGTTTAAATGAAACCCAGAGAATAGCTTTAGGCAGGAAAAAGTGTCATAAATCCTTGATTATGTCTCTTTCCCAGAGAGAGCAGTGTTACATGCAGTTTGTAAATCTATCCATGAATAAGTTCTTTTTTTAAAAGTAACAAATTCATAGCTAGGTTTCTCGGAAACAAAGAAACCAAACTCATGATACACATGTCCCCAGTGATGAACAAACCCACACTTCACCCAGAGACAGTTCCCAGTAACACTTACACGAAGCTCGGCAGCTGATATAAAGCCACTGCTGTCGGCATCATATTTGCGCCAAATCTGAAATACACAAAAAAAATCATTCATCCATTTAGCCTCGTCATTTCTGTGTGTTTCCTTTCCATCATATTTCTGTTACATATGTGACAAAACTGAGAAGGTCATGTTGTCTATACACTTGGGTATTCTGTTTATTATTTTCATTAAAAATTTTCTGTGAGCATTTTTAAACACAAAATTATCTCTAAAATATTATTTAAAATTTGAATACAATGTGATTCTACACAATTTGAAAATACAGAAGTACAAAGAACATGAAAATCATGTCAAATCTTACCCCTTAAAAACAACCAATATTTAGTGTGTATTTACCTGTTGTCTCATTTATATAGATGCTAGGGTGGATAATATTTTAAACAAAGTTAAGATCATAATGCATATACAATTTTGTTTCTTACCACTATAATGAATCTCCTCCATGTCATTAGATAGTCTTTGAAAACTTGATCTTTAGTGATGCATAAAATTCCACAGTGGGGCTTTTCCTCATGAATCTCCAGTGCCTAGGACTATTTCTGGCATACTGCCGGTGCTTGTAAGTATTTGTGGCATGAATGAATCATATGAATGTATCAGAATTTACCTACTTTTTCCTTCATTGTTAGACATTTGTTATTTTCAGTTTTAACTATAAGTAGCACTGCAACATTTAATGAACATTGTGTAGAAAACTTCTCTGCACCTCTGATTATATTCTTAAGATAGGTGCTTGGAGAAGTAGCATTGTTAAGTCAAAGGGTAAAGTTTTTTTTAAGTTAACTCTGGATAATGAAATGTTAAAGGATCCTAATTTCATTTTTTCCATAAAATTATCCCAGTGTGCATGCCTACCAACAGAGCTTGAGCAACAGTCTCAGTATTTCTTTGCCAGCCTTCATTTTTTTGTTGATCCTTTTAAAATCTTCACCTCTTTAGTAAAAAGTAGTTGTTTTTAATTTGCATTTCTTTGGTGACTGTCATATATCGATTATCTGTTCAGATTTCTTCTGTGAATTGTTTAGGCAAGTGCTTGCTCAATTTCTCATGACTTTCATTTGCCAGAAGGCAAATAAATTAGTGCAAAAGGTTGCTAAGTTATTATCTCCTAAATGCAGACTTGGTAACTCTTTCAGGAGTGAGGCAGTAGCCCCCTTGAATCTGCTGCTCTAGCCTTGGAGAAACCTGCTCTGCCTTCCCTGATCTTTTTTCACCCACAGACAGAAACACCTAGAGGCTGAAAGAGGAGATAAGAGGAGCCATTGATTCTGCCTTAGGTTTTTACTCATGTAAAATGATTGCAAAAAGACACCTTCTGGTTAGATCAGCACTCTAATAAGTTATATTACTGTGCCGTCAAAACTAGAATTAGTTACCAACATTTAAAACTAAGTAGATTCCCATTGAGTTTAGATGTCTAGGCTGCATTCTCAGAAGGCAGCGGTTCACTGGAGCTCAAAGGGCCATTGGCTCTAGATGGGGCACGTGCTCTTCAGGTCCACAGTCCCCACCCTCCTCTCCCACTACATCCTCAGCGTACCTGCCAGTCCTTCTCTCTAAGCCTTCGTCTAACCCAGGCTAAAGGAATTTGTCAGCTTAGGAGCAGTCTAGGTCTGCACACTGAGAGAGCACACTGGGGCTTGGGGCCAAGTCCAGACTTAACACAGGAACTCCTTTGCTTGGTCTTGTCCTCTCTGGGAAGCTCTCTCTTGGGAACAGGGCACGAGTGGTGACAGCCACAGCAGTAACTGGGGTCCTGACCTCATCTTCCATAGAGACATGACCAAATGCTTACCTGCATAAATTCCACACTGCTGTCCAGAGGGGTTTCCTGGCGAAAGAGCAGAAGAAAATTTTCATCCTCAGACAAGAACATGCAGGCAAGCTAAAGAAAAGAGGAGAAATAGCAGTCAGTGACACTAGCCAGTGCTCCTTGGGTAAAAGGCATAGTGGAACATATTAGAGGCAGGAAGGGCTTGAATCTCTCAGGATGGGGAGCCCAACGTGCAATTCTGTGCCCTTGATAGTCATTTTGGATTCATTGATTCTTTCAAGAAGTATTGCACCCTTCCTATGTATGAAACACTAGGAGTATCTGCCTCCCATGAGCTTACATTCCAAATTATTGGACAGTTTATTAAATTATTGATTATTATTATTATTAATATATTATAAATATAAACTGGTCTACACAGAGATAAAGAACTTGCCATAGTTATGCAGGCAGTGGTAGAGTTATGATTTCAACTAAGCCCACACTTTTAACCACCATGCTATGCTGGTGAGATACTGTATGTATAAATCACTTTAGTGCCATATGCAAAAGCAAAAATGATTGCTGTCTGGCTTGATTCTTTTTGATCTTGACTTTATTTTTTTAATTTTGTGGGGGGGAGGCAATTCGATTTATTAATTTTTTTAATGGAGGCACTGGGGATTGAACCCAGGACCTTGTGCATGCTAAGCACATGCTCTACCACTGAGCTGTACCTTCCCCCCTTGGCTTGATTCTTTTTGTTTGTTTGTTTTCTGTTTTTTCTTTTTTCTTTTTCTTTTTTATTGAAGTATATGACTGAAACATCATGCTGCACACCAGAAACTGACACAACACTAAACAACTGACTACACCCCAATTGAAAAGTAGCTCTTTTTCAAATTGAAATATAATCAGCCCACAATGCTGTATCAACTTCTGGTGCACAGCAAAATGTTTCAGCCATACGTATATTGCTTTTGATGTTCTTTTTCATTATAGGTTACTACAAGATATTGAATATAATTCCCTTTGCTATACAGTAGAAACTTGCTGTTTATCTATTTTATACATAGTAGTTAGTATCTGCAAATCTCGAACTCCCAGTTTATCCCTTTGCACCTCCTTCCCCCACTGGTGGCCATAAGTTTGTTTTCTATGCCTGTGAGTCTGTTTCTGTTTTGCGTATAAGGTCATTTGTGTCTTTTTTTCTGGATTTCACATATGAGTGATATCATATGGTATTTTTCTTTCTCTTTCTGGCTTACTTCATTTAGAATGACAGTTTCCAAATCCATCCATGTTGCTGCAAATGGCTTTTTTATGGCTGAGTAGTATTCCATTGTAGAAATATACCAGCTTCTTTATCCAGTCATCTGTCAATGGGCATTTAGGTTGCTTCCATGTTTTGGCTATTGTAAATAGTGTTGCAGTGAACACTGGGGTGCATGTATCTTTTCAAATTAGAGTTCCATCTAGATATATTCCCAGGAGTGAGATTGCTGGATTATATAGGGTAAATCTATTTTTAGTTTTTTAAGGAATCTACATACTGTTTTCCAAAATGGCTGTACCAAACTACATTCCTACCAACAGAGAAAGAGGGTTCCCTTTTCTCCATACCCTCTCCAGCATTTGTGGTTTGTGGACTTTTTGATGATGGCCATTCTGGCTGGTGTGAGGTGATACCTCATTGTAGTTTTGATTTGTATTTCTCTGATAATTAGCGATATTGAGCATTTTTCATATGCCTATTGGCCATTTGTATGTCTTCATTGGATAATTGCTTGTTTAGATCTTATACCCATTTTTGGATTGGGTTTTTTTTTTTGCTTGCTTGTTTGTTTGTTATTAATTTGGATGAGCTGTTTGTATATTCTGGAAGTTATGCCTTTGTCAGTCGCGTCATTTGCAAATATTTTCTCCCATTCTGTTTTGTTTATGGTTTCCTTTGCTGTGCAAAAGCTTGTAAGTTTAATTAGGTGCCATTTGTTAATTTTTTTGTTTCTTTTGCCTGGGTAGACTGCCCTAGGAGAACATTGCTGAGATTTATGTCAGAGAATGTTTTGCCTATGTTTTTTTTCCAGGAGATTTATAGTGTCTTGTCTTATATTTAAGCCGTTTTGAGTTTATTTTTGTGTATGGTGTGAGGGAATGTTCGAAACTTATTTATTTATATGTGGCTGGCTTGATTCTTAAGTGTTATATTCTTTTATATTGTTAGCATCTATATAATACTTTAAAAGCAAGTTCGCTTGTTATAAATTTAACCATCCACCTTTCTATGAGCACCAGTTCTATTGATTTACTTCCCTTGCTCTCATGAACAAAGGTAACATTTTCTTCCCCATGTGATTATAACATTTATTTTAGCACATAGGCATTTTTGGCTGGGTCACTGCCAAACCCAGAGTGTTTTAGTATTTATTATCTTCTTTCTGAGTTGTCTCTCAAGCAATGATCATTTCTTCTATAACTGTAGTTCTCTCAGCATTTTGTATAATACCAAAGAGCAAGTCCAGAGCAAATGCTTTTGGTAAGTTGTAGGAATGATCAGCCCACACTCCTATTCATATTCTCTAGTTGGATATAGGTCAGCTCAAGGGCACATCATGTGAATAACAGCTATCATACATTGAATAGTTGCTACACGGCAACATGCTTTTCATTTATCATCACATTAAGTTCTCACACCAATCCTTCAGTTAAGTATAAATACCCCCCTTTTACTAATGGGAGGCAGCACAATGCTGTTATGTGATAGGCTTTAGAGTGGATCCAGATTCCTTCTCTGTTATTCCCTATTATTTGATCTTCAGCAATTTAATTGATACCATTATGCCTCAATTTCCTCATTTGTAAAATGAGGGTAATATTTATATCCTGATGCTTATGTGAAGACTAAAATTTACATGAGGCACTATTTATAAGCTGTTCAGCAAAGTCCCTGGTACATATTAAAAATTTAGTAAATGGTGACTATGCTATGTTGATGAAGATGATGAAATTGAGGCTCAGAGAAGTTAACTCACTTGCCCAGGTTTTCATATTTCACCATGTTGCCTTTATGCTTTTCCTACCCATCCACACAATGTCAACTGGAACTGAGAACTGCTCTTCAGAAGTAAGTGTTTTTTCACATGGGGTGGCAGAGGCTAAGAAACCAAATTAAAACACAATTTACTGGTCCGAAGTCTCCAGAACCCACTCTGTCTTCAGTTTTGACTGCAGTGGCACAGAGAAGCCCTGGATGAATCAAATACATAGATCATCCCCAAGCCTCATTTTGGCTCTCAGTGTGACTTCTTCCCCATTTTGTTTTGTGCTAAAATACCTAGAGTGTGTGCACGTGGGCTGATTTTTACATCACAACAATCTGAATAAGTGAAATGGTGAAGGGTATAGGACGAGAGGGTAGGGGAGATCTTGCTGCTCTTTAAACTTGCAGACTCATGAGGTTTTTAGGGGCCTTGTGACCAGAATAGTCCTAGACCATCAGCTTGTCTACAGACAATCTCAGTTATGCTCATTGGCTGGACTCCGTGACAGAATGATTGGCACAGATGTCAAAGTTGTTGCCACGTTCCCCATTGCTTCAGGAAGGTCTACCAGTAATTAGTAAGGTAATGACATAGTTTTTCATTATTTACCATGTTTCACTCATTTATTATTAAGTCGGTAAATACTTACTGAGCACCACTATGCACTGTGCTCTGTTCTGTGGGCTGGAGAGTGCAACAGTGAACATGTAGTCAGTAATACTTTGCTATTTCTAGCTTGATGCTTGCACTTACCTTTCCAGTAATGAATACACTAATACTTTTACATCAATTACAGTGCGATTTTGGTTACATAAATAATTTTTGCCTTTTAGTGAAAATTTTGGAAATAACTACACTGATAAATCTAAAATTTAGCTTATTGGTTTTCTGAAAAGGTAGCCTCCTGGTGTACATGTCTATTTTTTATAAGAAGACATTATCTTGCCTTATTATCATAACTTTCTGAAGAAAAAAATTGCTCTTTTCATCAATAATATTGACTGTCCAAGTATGACAGCATCAAGAGACCAGCTGTGCAGATTTCAGGTAATATGTCTAGCAGGCAATTTTGACTATGAAATAAATGTCTTAGTTTCATAGCAGCTCATTTTTATGTATGGATTCATAGCTATATAGAATAAACCTATATAGATTGATACCTATAAGTGAGTTACACTTGAACCACTTATTGGCCATATAATGCCAGGAAAGTAACTTCAGTTTGTTTATCAGTAGAATAAGGATAGTGTTCCATGTCTACTTTCTATAGCTACTGTAGGGATAAAGTAACATAATGTGTGGAAATCCTTTCTAAACTGTAAACCTTTCTGTAACTGGAAGGGAAAACGATCATGTTAAAGATAGACTATGCAAGGCACTGCATGCTTAATGCAGTTCCTTGCTTTAATAGGTACCCAGTAAGTGTGGACTGAGTTCAAGTAAAGACAGCTACTGTCTGTTTTGTTTTTAATGATATTCAGAGATAGTTCTTTCCAGCCTCCACTGGGTGCTGATGCTGAAGTTTAAACTCATTTATTGTCAGTAGGTTTTCCCTTATGTCAAGGTTGAATTTGAGCAGGCCACTGTGTAAGAGACAAATATTAGATCAAGCAACTGAAAAGCCTCCAGCATATCAATTCCCCAATTATAAGGTAAGTATAAATATTGACTGACCTAAATAAAATGATGGAAGAATCATTACCCTTTGTTACTAAGCCGATGAAAAAGGAAAGGAGAGTACTTCAAAAATGTTAGCTAACCCAGCTGCCTGGCAGAGGGTTCTAATTTCCCAATCAAATGTAAGCCTTTCATTATCCTTCACAAGGAATTATAGTCCACAAAGGTACAGTGAAGAAAGTAACAGTTGTAGAAAGTACCTCTTTCATTTGTATGCGACCATCTTTAGAGACATCATGGGTAGCCATAAATTGTTGTTTCATTTTCTGCACATTTTTTTCCATGACTGCATCCTACAGTGGGTCAGAGAGAACCACATTAAAGCCACTGGGATTCCAAAAATGTAGTTAGGATGTCAAATATTCAGAGTGTATAGCCTGATAATTATGTTAGTCTAATCTGGAAGGCAAGTTACTTAGCCATTGAAAGTGATCCTACCAAGTTGCAGACAAGAGAGAGGCGGTGGAGGTTTCTTAATCAAATAACCACTAATCAGAATCCTGACTAGGTAAGATTTATAGCTAGTGATCTCCTAAAATACGAATGAAGAGAAGCTTAGGGACTAGAGTGTTAATAGAATAAATTTGAACATCATTCTGTATTTTGTTGTGACAAAAGACTATTGTAATGAACATAGAAACTTTCTTCCCAAGAATTCAGAAGTTTCATTCTATTTTTAAGTGAAAAGTTCTTCCAGGCCCTCAGTTTCCCAGAGTTCATTCTATTAATCTTGGATTCAACAAAGAAAAAACAATTAGGAGAAAATAACTAAAGAGGAAACCAAAGAAATAAAGTAATCATGGGAGGGGGGGATATGGCTCAGGGGTAGAGTACATGCCTAGCATGCATGAGGTTCTGGGTTCAACCCCCAGTACCTCCATTAATAATAAATAAACCTAATCCTCCCCTCCCCCAAAAAAGAAATAAAGTAATCATTGAACTACCAAAGATGGCACATATCCCTTCCTGGTACAACCTTTTCTGCACATTAAATTGTTCTTCATCAGAGGACTGCGTGGTTATTACAAAGAAAGTTAACTTATATAATCAACAACAGAGAGTGAATTTTGATGCAATGACTGAGAGGCACGGATGCAGCCAAACAGTGCTGGATTCCTAGACTCCAGAACAGATCAGTTATGCTAAGTGTATTCTTCCTAATACTAGCACACTATCCAGCCAGGTTTCCTCTCCACTAAGTATAGAGAGATTAGCCTCTTTATTCTTGGCACCATAGATTGTGTGGTTTGTTTGGTTGTATGGGTGTGTATGTGCATCAAACAGAAAAATCACAATGGAAATCACTCAGGAATGTGGGTCTTCACTTTGAATTTGAGCTTGACCTTCCAGATTAAGAGTTCTGCCAGGCTAGCAGTCATTTCTGTGTCTCTGACATATAGTACCAGTGGACTGAATAAGTGGTTATGATGCACTAGGCATTCCGAAAAGAAATTCACTAACACAGGCCATGGTGGTGAGAAATTTGATTTCAAAGTAAATATGAAACCAAAGAGGCTGTAGCTAGATTCTGTATGATACCTCTGGTTTGAAACTTGACTTCTGTCCTTTCAGACCTCTGACCCCAAAGTCAGTGACTACCCCTTGGCCCTAAAGCACAGGAGTCTAGGGCTCCCTCTGTTGTAATTTCCCATCAGGCCCCAGCAGGGTTATCATCTCTGAAGCCCTGAAAAATGCCCAGGATGTGCTGCAGTCTGTACGTGAAGAATGCACACACAGCCACAGAAAATGATGCTCTGCAATGGACTGGCTAGACCTGGACCTAGTGCAGAGGCTGATTCTGAGCATTTGAGAAAAAAAGAAAGGTGGGATGGGGTGAGTAACAGAAACAGCAGCAAGAATGGCTGATGGTTCCATTAAGTCAATCCCCTCAGAGACTGTGAGGAGCAGGTAATTACAAATAGGCTGCTTGCTCTTTAAGATTGACTAGCAGGCAGCTTGCTGTTAGAAATCTTAAAATTCCTTCTTCTGAGGTCTCTGTGATCCGCTAATCAGGGGGAGGAAAGTGGAGCTATTCAGGTCTCAGAAGAACTGATTGCCCTGCTTCAACACCAGAGGGGCTGCTTCATCACAGAGGCCTCCCTGCTGCTGGCTCTGTACTCACAGGGACATCACTGATTAAAGGTAGGTCTCACAAATGGTGATTACTCCCCAGTTGAGAGGGACATGCCCTCTTGTTAAGGACATGCTGAGGGCCTACTCATTTCTCAGCAGGAAAAAAGTCCAGAGTTAGGAATAGTTTCCTTAGTCTTGGTTGTCCCAGTAGCATAGAGTGGCCAGCCAAAGGCCCTGTAATCATACCCGCTGGGTAAAGGCCTCAGCATTTTGAAAGGAAATAATGGCAGAGGACAGCATTTCTCATTAACAGTTCAATAGTTTATCCCCTGGTTCCAAAAGCTTTCTCCCTCGCCAAGTGCTGGAGAGAGGTGCCTGGGGCTGCAGCCGCAGCTCAGCAGGACTGGCCTGATTATATTAGAATACCTTGTCTGACAAGCAGTCACTATTCCTGGAGGGAACGGGGTGAGGGGGGTGGGGGATGCAAACTGACTTATAGTACATGCAGTATCCTAGGCAGACCCTAAATGGGCTGAAATACCTAGGAGGCACCTGGGACTTTGCATTTTAACAAATACGGCACACCAAAATTCTATTTCCACTAGCCTAAGGACTCTGCAACCTTCCAGCCTCTTTGCCTCTGGCCTCAGGAACACCTGCATGGAACACAGTTGCAGAGTACACTGGCGAGTCATTTGCTGTTTCCTTTTCTCCAAGGACCATGCCTGTCCATGCCTGTCCATGTGTGAGAGGTGAGGCGACAGGCCAAATCTGAGGGAGGGGCGATGGTAAGAACAGCCAAGCTGTGAGAGATGGCATCTCTCTTCTCTTTCACTGATGACGACAATGCCTCTAAAGTCAGCCAAAGCCCCAGAACAAGACAGCTCACAGGGTCCACAGCCTAGAGCAGACCTTTGTGTTTGAGTAGCAGCCCACCCCTCACCTCATGACTGAAAATAAGACATTTCCAAGTTCAACATTTACAGCAACTTTTCTCCTCCTTTTCTTTATATCAGTAAAGCAAGGAGCCTTCTGAAAAGGTGTGAAGTTCCAAGTTTATTCCAAGACTTTTAAAGTTTTGCCTTCCTCTTTTTGTTTTCCTCAAATACTTCTGTCATGTTTGACAAATGGCATCAGATTCACGGGTTCTGGAATGCCGTGAGCCTTAGCATTTACAGAGAGAGCAAATCAGAAAGAGACCGACAGGGAGATAAAGGAAGGAAAGAGAAAAGGAGAGGCAAGAAACTAATACAAGAAATGAAGGGCAAAGAGAGAAGAGACAGACAGATAGGAAAGAGAGGAAAAGAGAAATAAGAGAGAGAGAGGAGAGACAATGAGAGAGCTTGAGAAACAGATTAGAGATAGAGAAACAAAGAGAAAGGAGAGAGACAGATGGAGAAACATATAAGAAATAGAGATCAGAGAGAGATGAGAGAAAGATCAGAGAGAAAGTCAGGATGATGGACTCCTACATGAAAGTGTGATGCGCTTCAATATTCTTCCACGTAGACAGTTATATTTGAGGATAAGCTACCTCATTTTAAATGCTGCTGTCTCTAGAGCTACTTCCCTTACCATGCATCCCCTGATGGAGTCTTTACCGGGTTCTCCCAAGCCCAGGCTGCTGCCTCTCTGTGGGAGTTATTCCTCTGCTTTGGTACAGGGCTCATTGGCCGTTAATTCACATCTCTCAAGGCCAGGTTTACCATAAGAAAGGGAGATAGATACTGGATAGATTAGTTTACATTTATTTTTCGGCTCTGGGTATGTTGGTTGTTTCCTGATTTGTCATTCCTAAAGAAATAGGCACTCTCTTCTAATGAAATGGAAAATGGAAAAAATGATTTTGAATGATTTGTTTGTGATTTGCTATCAAAGTAGTATCAAATGCATTAAACACCCAGAACCTTAAAGCTCTTAACATCTTTTCCACCTTTTTGAACAAAATGAGCTACCTTATCTCTAGGTTTAAATCCATTAGCAGAGACATAACCAAGGAGATATTCAAAACAAAGTTGTTTGACTCTAAAGTTAAAATCTGAGTGGATGACAGATGTTACACTAAAAGTCAATGACCAGAGCATCTAATACCACAGGTTTATAAAACCTGCCTAAATCCATCCATGTTGCTAGGAGAGGGAGAGAAATTGCATGCAAGGAAGAAAAGAGGTCAGATGGAATTAATAAGTACAAATCAAGATAAGATTGGATGCTTTTTGTAATTCACTAAGAGACACATAAATTAATGCTTAGTGGCACAAGTACTTACCTCGCTACCCAGTTTTATCAACATGTGGTAAAATAAAGCATCAAGCTCCTTCTCTTCTATGTAACCTTTTTCTAGATGCAAGGAGATATGCATGAATAATAGTCGTTTATATAGAATAACATGTGACATTTAGTATTTAATATTAACATCTTAATTTGCTTTTAATCAGAAATTTATAAAATCCCCATGGATACCATTCTTTGCTTCTCTAATTAAGTGCCAATATCTACCTCTAGAAAACAGATTTGAATAGCAAATACATATTCAACAGTAAATGTTCTGTGCTGAGGTTTATATAAATACTTGAGAAATGAAAGCTATTTATATATTAATTTTAATCCACAAATAAACATGAGTTTTAGAATAAACTCTGACCTAAGGATTTTGGAATCGTGGAGAATTGTAATAGATGTAAATATTGAATCTTAGTTTGCAAGGTTAAAACACACATTAAACAACATTTAAATATTTTCTTAATGTTTCTTTAATTATTAATGAAGACAAAGCAAAATTAAATAGATATTTTGAAGTAATTTTTTGGGAGTAGGGTTGGTGTCTTTTTGAAAGTTGATCAAATTCACCCCTCCCTTTGAGAGAGTGAGAGTTATACAATAAAGTGATTGAGTAAAAATGAGCACAGGTAAGGAAGACTGACTTCAGATCCTGGAGCCCACAAGTTTCAAATATATATTTGTCATTGTCTATGTGGTATATCAGTACACAGTCACAGGTTGGGGAGGGCAGGGAACAAGTCCCTCCTCCCACCCTGAACTTGAACAAAGTATGTAGACGTGCAAGTCCAGTAGTAGGTACGCTGCGTTAGGTATACTGCATTAACAACATTGGAAGACAACTTTTCCTGCAGGAAAAGACCTACGGGAAACAGAAGTTCTAGGTCCTTTCAGCAAGACTTGGAGCTAGCGACGCCTACATCTGAATGTACAGGGGGCTTGTTTTACTTACCATCCGCGTCAAAGTGCTGCCAGACCTGCCAAAAGCCAGCGGCATCCAAGCGCATTTGAGTGGTTTCGCGGGCGCTGTCCATTGTATTGACAACGAAGAGCAGGCACGGGGCGGAGGGGGTGCGAGGAACACCTAGAGAACTTTGATAAGGACTCCTCTACAATGTCTTCTGACTCCCTCACCTGCTTCTTTCGTTCTCTTATTTGCTTTGAGCACCTGTCTGAGGGGCAGGCACAAGGGCATCTGGCGAGGCGGCTGCTGGCGCCTTAGTGTCGCTGTGCAGTCCCCAAGCCCCCACCGCGCCTCTTAGGGAAACCAGCTGCTTGGAACCCGCCCAGTTCCTGGCGCGTCGTCCCTGCCCCGCCCTGCGCTGTCTGTCCTAGGCAGATCAACGAGGGAGCTCTGTGGCTGCCTCAGCGCTGTGGGAAAGTCGGGGAGAAAGGAGCTGCCTCAGAGTGTCCATGGCTCACTCTCTTTGCCCAATAACTTGTCTGTCAAACTCAGAGAAAGTATCCCCCTTATGTTTCACTCACCTACCAAACTTGTGTCTCAGGGGGTTTCTAGAGAGAACTCCCCCGTTTAAACGGCTGGAAGAGTGTCAAGTGTTAGGGTCCTTTGAACCCGATTATTTAGAACTGTAGTGGGTGAGGAGTGAGATGAAGAGCAGTAATGGTGGTGGTGGTAAGAGATTACCAGTAAGCTGGGAGACAGTCATCAGGGACGATTACTGAGCCCTGATTGTATAGGGCATGCACATTGCTATACTATAATGCACTATAAGGACTTGCATCTAAATAGAGATTCTACACAGAACTGTGGTTTAAATCGGGATTTTAGGATGTTGACAGGACTTCATACTACGCCATGCTTTTCCAGGAAAAGAGAGCTAGGGGGATACATGGTGGCTGGCTGCAGTTCTTAGGTAGAAGTTTAGATGATTGTGTTTGGCTCCTAAGAGCCACACTAAGACTGAAGGACAAAAACCATTTGGAGGAACACACAGCTCTCTCTAATGATCAGAACTGTTCAACAGTTGACTGGATGCTTTGTGAAACAGCTGAATGACACTGATGGCTTCTGACCATGAGCTCAGAACCTTTTGTTGAGGAATCTATAAAAGGAGCTTGGGTAATAGGAGAGTTGGGCCAAATATAGATCTTTATGGCTTGCTAACTCTGATATTAACATTAAATTTTATTTTTTAAAAGCACATATACATAAGCCATCTAAACTAGAGTATTTAAAGGAACATGACACTCATGGTCAGACAGTCCTGGGTTAGGATCCAAGCTCCATCACTTACTAGCTTTGTGACCTGCATCATTAGTTTTCATTTCTCTAAGCCTCAGTTTTCTTGTCTATAAAATAAGGATTATAATAACTACTTTGGAGGGTTACTGAGAAGATCAGAGCCACTCACAGCAGTGCACAATAAATTGTAGTTGCTATGGTCTTGTAGAGGATGAGGGGACTATATTGTTAAAAAAAAAAAAGGAAAACAAGGAAAGCCTGAGAAACTGTCACAGCCAAGAGAAGTCTAAGAAGAGTGATGATTAAATGTAATATTGTATCCTGGGTGGGATCCTGGAACAGAAAAAGGACATTAGGCTAAAACTAAGAAAATTTGAATAAATAATAAATATAGGCTGTTAATGATAATAAACAGTTATTTACAAGTAAATAGTTCTGGGATTTAGGGCAAGCTTTGTCTCTTTCTATGATGTTAATCAGATTACTCAAAAGAAGCCTCACTTTCTTCACCTGTAGAATGGAGAAAATAGTAGCATTTGTGTTGCATTTTTGTCACAAAGTTCAGATTTTAAAAATACATATAAACCTCTTAGCACAAAAGACACAGTAAACACTCAGTGTAAGTTAGCTACTAAAATGATGAATCTTCCTTGTGTACACATTTGGAAGATGGTGATGTAAACGTCAGGATTTTTAAGAAGTGTGGCTTAGGTTAAAAGTAGAAAAACAATTATCATCACTCTTGGAGAAAGTATTGGGTACAAAAATTGGAGAACAAAGAAGGAAGAGAGGATTCGGGGCTCAGTATCGACATATCCACATGTCATATGTGGTCCTGGGAAATTACTGGCTACAGTGTCAAACATCAGTCAGGAATACTAATAAGCATGGACTCACCAGGTTGGTGACTGATCTTGCTTTCTGAGAAATAGTGGGAAAAAAGAAAAAATAAGGCAAATGTCAGGAGTAATAATCAAGATCTAATGTAAGGGATGGTTATATAAATGATGGTAAGTCATTATGATGGGCTTTGCTTCACACATAGAAATCTTGATTTTGAAGCCTGATGACACACAAAAAATGCTCAGAACATAAGGTTTAAGATTAAAAAGCAAGTTAGAAAAATGCACATATTACATGACCGAATTATTTACAATAGAATACATATTTCCACACAAAGAATAAAGTGGAAGAATATACACTAATTGATGTAAATGATGCTTATTTCTGGAATAAGGAAGAGGGGGAATCATGGAAGATTTTAATTTTGTTATTTGTAATTCTTCTACTTTAAAGCTCTCTACAATAAGCATATAATGCAACCATAATTTTTAAAAGTTGTAAAGATGCAATCTAGAGAAAGGAAAGAAGTACAGCTACCAGGACTGCTGTTATCCTCAGAACTGGAGAACAAACAGAACTTGAACCAATTTCCAGGAGCCTGGCATGTGGAGCTCTCTGGGGAGTTACAATTTCCATTCAATAACTTATTTTCATTTTCTTTGTATCCAAATACCTATCATAGCACTAGGTAGATAATGTTCAGTTACCTTGCATTCTCTCATACAGAAATGTGTGTGTTGGTGGGAGTAGGGGGCGGAATTATCGAAGCCCTTGAGAAGAGAACCATTAGGAAGGTATTTACAGATCAGCAGGAGTCATCTTTAAGACTGTCTCACTGGAAAAGTGCTCCTACCTGGGAATGGAGTGATGGGAGTGGGGATGAAAGAACCAAAGGTGATTTATCTGAGTCCCTGACTGTCCAACCAGAGAACTCAGAGTAGAGCGAATACAAAGCAGCTAGAATTAACTTGAGATAAATTATGCAATGTGTGGACTAATTTAGCCCCTTCCACAAAGATTCTGATTTAAAGGGTCTGGAGTTAGGACTCTGCAATGATACTTTTTAAAAGCTCCCCTAGGGATTATATTAGAACCAACATCTAGATTTTCGTCTTTAAGTTTCCTGCAGCTTGTATTTTGGTCATTTTAATTTTGGGGGTGTGGCTTCCCTGAAGGCCAATCAGGAAAAGGAAAATACTTCTAAAGAATTAATATTATTTTTTATTAATATCCCATCTCTTTAAAAAAATGATTAGAATTTATATTGTATGTCACTCTGGTAAGTTTCAAGAATCTAAGGACTGCAATGAGTAATTTTTCTTTTTATCCCTGCTGATTTGATTTTCTCCTGCAGTCAGTTCCTGCTTTTCTCATTAGCATAGCTAATTGATGGTTGTACAAGAAACATTAGTGGTCTCTAATTTGAATCATTGCTATTTAACCCTGATGCATGCATTAAACTCTGAGTTAGAATATCTGCATCTTTTTACAAACTCATAATGATATTTCTAGCTGGAAACATAAACAGTGCTTTCTTTTCTGGAAATATAAACAGTGCATCCCAACTATTTCTCCCAATAGTTATTAAACATTTAAACATGAGGGACACCTGACAGACTATTTAGTAGACCTTAGAATTCGAAGAGATTGCCTTGGTTTGATGCCACACCATCTCCAAAGGGCAAAGGAAGTAGACTAAAAGAAATTGGACCAAGTTTATCATAAGAAAATGCTGGAAATAAAGTTAATATTTTTAATAGACCATTTATTGTGTCTTTCATAATCACATGAATAATACAGATGATATAAATAATATAGATCAGAAAGCTAAAAAAAAAGATTCTCCCATAATTTTACCAGCCAGAGATAATCAAGAATAATATACTACTGTACATCCTTCCAGTCTTATTTTATTTCCACAAAAATTGGATTATACTGCTCTGTAACTTGTTTCATTTAATATTATGAACACCTCTCCATGTCATTAAATTTTTTTCAATGGCATCATTTTAAGGGTAGTATTACCATAATTTAACTAATGTCCTATTTTTGGACTTTTAAATTGTTTCTAGGTTTTCACTATCATAATCAGTGCTATGACAGCTAAGTGTTTGCACGCTCTCATAATTATTTCTTTAAGATAAAATTCTAAATGCAGGAGTTCTGGGGTGAACAATACATAGCATTTTAACTCTTAAGTACTGCTTTAGGTACATCCTACAAGTTTTGTTTAATTGTAATGATTTATTTTCTATAATGTGTCTTTTTTTAATTGTGGTATAGTCAGTTATAGTGTTATGTCCGTTTCTGGTGTACAGCACAATTCTTCAGTCATATGTGAATATACATATATTCATTTTCATATTTTTCACTGTAAGCTACTACAAGATATTGAATATATTTCCCTGTGCTATACAATATAAACTTGTTTATCTGTTTTATATATACCAGTCAGTATCTGCAAATCTTAAACTCCTGGTTTATCTCTTTCCACCCTCTTCCCCACTGGCAACCACAAGTCTGTATTCTGTGTCTGTGAGACTGTTTCTATTTTATATATAAGTGAATTTGTCTTTTTTTTTTTTTTAGATTCCACATATGAGTAATATCATATGGTATTTTTCTTTCTCTTTCTGGCTTACTTCACTTAGAATGACAATCTCTAGGTCCATTCATGTTGCTGCAAATGGCATTATTTTGTTATTTTTATGGCTGAGTAGTATTCCATTGTATAAACATACCACAGCATTATCCAGTCATCTGTTGATGGACGTTTAGGTTGTTTCCATGTTTTGCCTATTGTAAATAGTGCTGCTGTGAACATTGAGGTGCATGTGTCTTTTTGAATTAAGGTTCCCTGTGGATATATGCCCAGAAGTGGGATTGTTGGATCATATGGTGAGTCTATTTTCAGTCTTTTGAGGAATCTCCATACTGTTTTCCATAATGGCTACACCAAATTACATTCCCACCAATAGTGTAGGAAGGGTCTCTTTTCCCTACACCTTCTCCAGCATTAATCATTCATGGACTTTTGAATGATGGCCATATTTACTGGTGTGAGGTGATACCTTATTGTAGTTTTGATTTGCATTTCTCTGATAATTGGCAATATTGAGCATTTTTTTCATGTGCCTATTGGCCATTTGTATGTCTTTATTGGAGGATTGCTTGCTTAGGTATCCTGCCCATTTTTGGATTGGATTATTTGGGGTTTTTTATTATTAAGTTGTATGAGCTGTTTATATATTCTGGAAATGAAACCCTTGTCAGTCTCATCTTTTGCAAATACTTTCTCCTATTCCGTAAGTTATCCTTTTGTTTTGCTTATGATTTCCTTTGCTGTGCAAAAGCTTGTAAGTTTAATTAGGTCCCACTTGTTAATATTTGTTTTTATTTCTGTTGCCTGGGCAGACTGCTATAGGAGAACATTGCTGAGATTTATGTCAGAGAATGTTTTGCCTGTGTTTTCTTCTAGGAGGTTTATAGTGTCTTGTCTTATATTTAAATCGTTAAGCCATTTTGAGTTTATTCTTATGTATGGTATTAGGGAGTATTCTAACTTCATTAATTTACATGCAGCTGTCCAGTTATCCCTACACCATTTGCTGAAGAGACTGTCTTTACTCCATTGTATGTCCCTGCCTCCTTTGTCAAAGATTAATTGACCAAAAGTTTGTGGGTTTATTTCTGGACTCTCTGTTCTGTTACATTGATCCATATGTCCAGTGTTGTACCAATGTCATGCTGTTTTGATTACTGTAGCTCTGTAGTATTAAGTCTAGGAGGGTTATTACTCCAGCTTTGTTCTTTTTCTTCAATATTGCTTTGGTAATCCTGGATCTTTTGTGATTCTATATAAATTTCAGGATTATTTGTTCTAGTTCTGTGAAAAAATGTCTTGGGTAATTTGGTAGTGACCACATTAAATCTGTAGATTGCTTTAGGTAGTATGGCCATTTTAACGACATTAATTCTTCCAATCCAAGAACACGGGATATCTTGGAAAGAAATTTTAATAGCATCCAGTTCATTGTTTTCCAAATCTTGCCTGGTCATAGTCTAATTTGGGTTAGGGGTGCTCATTCAATGTAAAGATTCCTGGTCCCTATCCAAGGCCTGATGGATTAAAATCCCTAGAGCAAGAGCCTGGAATCTGTATTTTCAGAACTACTCAGGAGATTCTAATCACCCAGAAAATTGGGGGAAACACTGATCTACTAATTGTTGAGAAAAATGAGACCCAGAAAGATGAGATACCCAAGGTCACCCAGGATTCCTGACTCACTCTCTCGTGTCCTTTTCTTTACACCTATGGAAAGCCGGGGACAAGGAAGATACCCGACATGTATCATTTGCCTCTAATTGCCCAGGACTGGCACTGGGCACATGTAGGCACTTGGGCAGGTCAGGAGAGCAACCAAGAACTATGCAGTAGAGATGCTGCCTCCTGAAAAATCACTTACAGAATGAAAATGAACAAATGACTCCATTATTCAATTCCTTGTGTAGAAGACAGGGTCTTCTGGGGGTTGTCTGTTTTCTTCAAGTGTCTGTCTCATTCAAACTGGGAGCCCCTTGAGCGTAAAGTCCCGTCTAGCCTGGGATGCCTCCTAGTGCATGCTGAAATGCCAGCCAAGGCTTATGTTTAGGAAAATGCGAATTTCCATTTAGAGAGAGGCAAGTGGCTTTAGAGCACAGGATTGGACATTTATGAGTGTGTGTTGGTCTATTTATGTCTAGAGCCAATACTAAGTACACAGCAGGAGCCCAAGTTGCCTGCATGGGACTGACCGGACAGTTCTGAGGAAAGGAGGAATCTGGTACATAATAAAGGTATTTGCGTTGAGTATAAGAATGTTCTTCCTTCAATAAGCAATCATTTGAAAGCTTCATTTGGAATTAGTAATAATTTTTCTTTTGGTAACCGAGATATTATTTAAGGTGCAAAAACAGCTAATAGTTAATTTGAGCCTAACAACAACAACAAAAAACTGTCTTTTAAACTATGGCACATAATTTAAGCTGGTATTTTCCCAAGAATGAATGCATTTGGGTGAGGCATGTCAGAGAAACAAGCCTCTTGTCCAAGAAAGGTTAACATTTTTCTAGGAACTTACCCAAACTTACACAGGAGAGTCAGTCTTAAAGTCCCTCAAATAAATAAAACAAACAAGGATTCATTTGTTTCTTATGGGGTACCTGCCTCTAAGCTGAACACACTGTACTTCATGAGATGATAAGCAGCTGCTGAAATGCTTGCCTTTTCAGGAAGCTCAGAGATACATCACTATTTACCTGGAGAGATTTCATGTTGTTTACTGACATCACTTGGACTGATACTTCCTTAATAGAAAGGAAAGCTGGATGCCAGATATTTCTGTGCTAGGCTCTAAAAGGAATGGCAGAGTGGTCAATGAAAAAAGATCTTCATTTAAAACATAAATTTATTTTGTGTCTAAAATCCTAGTTCCTGGGGGCTTCTATCCAGATACAGACAGAAGGGACTAAAGATTAGGACTAAAATGAGGTCTCATTTTAGAAGGAAGTTTCTAGCTTCCTGCCTTGCTGGTTTTAGGAATTCATTAAATAATGCTCCCTTTTCTCCCCACAACTGAAAATAAGATGCAGAGTCAGGCAGGTGAAGATAAAAATAGTAGCCTTATTACTGATAAAAGCTAGAATGGACAGTGTGGCTAAGATGTGGGCACAACAGGCTTCCTAATATTTTCTGATTTCCAAATGAAAAGTACTTACCTGCTACAGGAAGAGCTGGACAGTCACAGGCTTCCCCTTCATGGGCAGAGTCTTCCCTGCTGGGCTTATCATGTGGTAAGGAAGAGTGCAGAGAGCATCCTCACCGTGGGCAGTCAGGTCTGTAGAGTCAGTATGCCCAGCCCCTGTTAGGGACTGAATTGTGACTGCCCCCCACCAAAAAAAGTCATATGTTGAAGCTTTAACCCCTACTGTGACTGTATTCAGAGATACGACCTTCAGGGAGGTAATTACGGTTATGTGAGAGCCTACAGGTGGGGCCTTCATCCCATAGGATTGGTGTCCTTATAAGAAGAGGAAGAGAGACTAGTGTACTCTCTGTCCATGCGAGCAAAGAGGAAAGGCCATGTGAGGACCCTGAGAAAGTGGCCATCTGCAAACCAGGAAGAGAGCCCTCACCAGAATCCATCCCTGATGGCACTTTGATCTTGAACTCCTAGCCTTCCAAAATGTGAGGAAATACATTTCTGTTGTTTAAGCCATCCATCTGTGATATTTTGTTAGGGCAACCTTTCCTAAATTCACTGATTGGTAAAGTCACTATATTCACCAGCAGGCAGGTGAGAAGAGATACATGTGCATTTAGAGAGA